CTTTTGGCATTTGCAACCCCTGAAAGAGAAACACTGTCAACCACTATCAAAATGAATTTAAATTGTCTTTTCTATGACATGGTTATTTTGTCTCTTTCCCATTCCTTTAATTTAGTTTATTTTACAAATAAAGTATAAATTTTAATATGATAGCTCAAGATGGTTCTTTTAAGGGTGCCAGGTGACATGGCTTAGTGTCTGATCTTCATTTTATTTAAAAAGTTTAATTTTCACTGAGCCAGCAAGTCTCTTATTCCAGACCCAAACAAAGAGCTACACAGGCACAAGATATTTGTCTTATGTATAACCATCTGATTCGAGTAACTTTCACCTACATCTAAATCTGTCCTCATCTATGAAACCACCCTATGAAATGGAGCTAAGAGAGCAAGAATCACCAGGGCACATGGGGATTCCCTGGGTTATTTCTGAGAGTATGTTGCACATCTTACAAGAAGACTGTGGTCAACCAACTGATAATCTCTTCACAAAAAACATAATCTTCTTTAATCTTAAGTACCAGAAAAACTTTAAATAAAAATTTTTTTTTTCCATATCATACAATTTGGGTGTTGATAGTCTAGTTTGGTCTTGCACTGTTAGAAGAAATAAGAAACACAACTGTTTTTCATTCTTTGCAATATAGTTGTCATCTCAGCTTATAGGCCCTATGAGATACAGAATTAGATTGTTCTGTCTTCTCAGAAATTGCTGTGTCCTGTCTATATCAGAATAAATTTCCCTCATGTGTCAACAAAAGAAAAAGAGATAGTATATTATGAATCTCTGAGCCTATTGCCAAGACTCACAAGTATATGTTTCAATAGTAATTAGAAAATCTTTCCTTTTTACTATAGTTTAAGAAATTTTAATATTTTTGTATATTATAATATTTTATTTCTCCCTCTAATGCTTATCTGTATATTTTGAAAATGTTTATTTTATGTCTTCCAAAATAGCATCACTGTTTTTGCTTTGATTTTTCACAGTTACTTCAATAACATTATATACTAAAAAAACTAACAAGAAGTAAAATCTAAAAAGAAATCTATGCATTGCTTTGCATTTAACTGGTTTTAAAACTTTAAAGCTAATGGCTACATTTTAAGTTAACAAGATTGAGACTGATGATTCCCAAAATATACATATTGAAGTTTTGAAAAAAATCATCTCTCTAAATGGCAATTGAAAGTAACAAAAATGAACAAAATGCATAAACAGTTATACTCAGAATTGACAAATTAATGATGTTTTCAGTATGGCTATACATTGTAAATATTCTCCTAGTTATATCTTATGTCAGTTTGTATATTTTATAACCTTTAGCAGATTTCATCATTAAATAGGTTACCCGCTTGTTTGTTTTCCTTCTTAGACTTAATTCTCAAAACAGAAGCCAGGCCTTCCTTTTTTGGCTCACCATTCATTTTGGCAGGTGGTTATCATCGTGGGTCATCTGGCACCTAAAGCACAAAGATAGTTTGCACAAAGAATATGAAAAAGTCACTGAAGTCGGTCAACTCAAGGTTCTAACTCATTATGAAAAGCAGAATGCATATGCTGGGTCTTTTTAATAAAAAGTGTACTCTGAAGATATTCAGACAGAATAAAGGAAAAGTAGTCATTGTCACCAAAAAACCATTCAGGTTTGAAAAAATCCAAAATATGGTGTGATTCTGTGTTGATCAAACTATTGTCCATCATCACTGTGGGAGTAATATCAACTTAGACACAGCATGAGAAAAATACTACAGAATATGTTCTCCAGCTGTCATTGATCCAGGTGATTCTGATATCACCAGAAGCATGTAGAATAGGCTGGTGAGAAAACAAATCACACCCAGTTTCTATTTAATACAGCTTGCCAGAGCTTGTTTTATTTTTTTTAAAAGTAGCTAAGCTGATTCTTCTGAAATGTAAGTCAGATAATGATATTTCTCTGCTCAAAATTCTCCAACAGTACGAGTTTGATATAGTAAAAGAAATTCCACATTCAAAAATATTTAAAAGACAAATTTATTGAAAGGGCTATATAGAGAGGGTATAATCTTAAGAAAATGAGTCAGGAACAGTGAAACAAGCAGGAACTAGCAAGAGCTTCTACTGTAAGCAGAAAGGAGAATGGTGGAATAGGTACATGGAGGGGAAAACAGAACATACTATTATTATCATGAGGGTAAGAATCACAAATATTTCTTTAACATATAAACACACCTTTCATCGTGCCGCATTGCTTTGTTATTCCACTAGTCCTCCCTGCTAAAATTGTCTTTTTCAAGCTCCTGCATCATGCCCTAGGCAACTTTTCTCCTCATACATTTTATGTATGCTTACCTCTAAATTCAATGATATTGTCTCAGTCATGAATTGTTCTCACTGACTCACTTATTTTAGGACTTTGCTCAAATATCATGTTTATTCCTTGACCATTTCATTAAAATTATTTGCTTTACACACCTATCAAACTCTTTATTCTTTGGCATGTCTACTTGTTCTCTATGTAAATTACCTCCAATAAGAATATATTAAAGATTTATTGTTAAAAGGAGGTAATGCAAATATATATATATAAAATTTTTAGAAAAAGAGGTAGCAATAAAACATTCAATAGTGAAAACACTTTTCTTTAATTAAAATATTCATGATTTACATATAGCCAAATGACACACTCGTCTATAATCAAAAACATTTTGAAGTGGTGGAATTTTGAGTTTTTTGAATCTTAACCCTCCAATGTATACCAGAGGTCACATGCAGCCTACATGGAGTAGTATGGAAAACATTACTGCATTAGCTATATTGTGCATGACTAGCAGGGCATAACTACAGCTGGCAAGAAATTTTAGATGTCTGGAATGTGCAAAGAAATGGATTCTAGGGGGCTGGGGGTTTCACTCAGGAGAATAAGCACCTGCCTGGCAAGTGCCAGATCGTGTGTTTGATCCTTGATATCATAAAACAAAGTAATGGATTCTATTGGCCACAGATTTAGTGCCTATATTGAAACAAGAAACTATATGAAGCAAACTTTGTGTCAAAAGAAAAATTTGGTGTATCTGACTGTCATAAAATCATTTGTACTATTTTCAGTTATGATCATTGTAGGAATGATGTAGGAGGAGTCCTATGGAAAAAAATTTTTGGTTATTATTACGAGTTTAAGAAAAATTTTGGATTTTTTTTGTTTCTGTGTAGTTAAATGTCAAGATTAAAATGTTTTTTTTTTTTTTCCCCTGGGGTATTTTCTTAAAGTACACGTTTTGAGGAACTGAGAACTCTGAGAGATATGCCTTGTTAAAACTCCAGTTCTCATAACCCTTTGCTCTCTCATAGACATGACAGGACAGCTGTGTGCCACGACCTTGAGACTTTAAAAATGTGAAACAATAAATTTATTTGCTATTCCTACTTCTTTATCTGGAAGGTATGCATTTATCTCAGATGACCTCTTTTGGTTGTGTCTTTAAATATAGGAGATCTGATTTTTTTCAATTCTTCATATATCCTAGATTTTAATCCTTTATCTGATAAACAACTGGTTCCACCCTGTGGATTGTTTTTTAGCCTCTCTTGGTGATTTCTTTGCTGTGCAAAAGATCTGCAATAAGATGAGATCCCAATTGTTAAGTCTTTCTAGTATTTCCCATGCAGTCACAGTTTTGTTCAGGAAGTTTTTTCCCATACCTGTGTATTCAAGAATTCTACCTGTCTTACCTTTCAGCAGATTTAATGTTGCTGCTTCAATACTTAGATATTTAATACATTTTGGTTTTAGTTTAACGGGTGGTAATAGATGTGGGTTCTAGTTCAATCTTTGAAAAGCCAGTTTTCCCAGCACCGTTTATTCAAAAAGCTACCTTCCAGTGAAATTTTGGCCTCTTTGTCAAAAATAAGGTTGCTGAGTATGTTTGGATTTGTTCTGCATCTTTAATATGTTCCATTGAACTCTGGTTTATTTATTTATTTATTGCGACCACCATGCTCTTTTTACCAAAGTAGCTCTTCAGTACAATTTCAAGTTAGGGATTGTGATACCCCCTGCCTTGCTTTTGTTGCCTAGAATTGTTTTTGCTATTGTAAGTCTTCTTTGGTTCCAAATGAATTTTAGGACTTTTTTCTCTTGTTTGATGAGGTATGCTAATGGCATTTCCATTACAATTAAATAAAATCTGCACAAGAATTTTGGAAGCATTGTCATTTTTACTATGGTGTTACTACTCAAGAGCAAGAAATATCTTTCCATTTTCTTATATTTGATCTATTTTTTTCTGAGTACTGTAGTTTTCAGTGTGGAGATCTTTTACTTCCTTTATCAAGAATGATTCCTAAGTATTTCGTTTCTTTCAATGCTATTGCAAAAGACATTGTATTGTAAAAGCAAAGTTCTTACTTATTCACACAAGAACAATTATGCAGATGCAATTTGGACACAGGGATGGAGTAGGTATTTGGAGACTCCATTTATTTCCCACTACTGAATTTCTTTAAGGTCAAAGTAATTGCATATTTTGAAGAATTTTAGAACTATTTGGTAGGACTCATTCTAACATTTTTAAAGATATTTAAGAATCTGTGTGTAGGAATTATGTTGCAAGTCTCTGTGTTTGTCTTTAAATGTAATACTCAGTAGTTTTCTGCATTAATACAATGCAATTTTAAGAGGCTCTTCCTGAACTAAAAATAAACTCCACTCATCCAAAAGCATATTTAAGATATTGGCCTTGACTATACATGTGTCAGTATGAACCTTACATTTCTGAGGATTTAATTTAACATTGGAACCAGATGAATGACCTGGCGCTTGACAGGCAGGCACTTGTAGCTCTGATGAGCAGATGAAACTCATTCTCTAACATGAAAATACTAATAATGAATTTGAGACTCACCACAAGTCTTATGTGAAATCAACATAATTGATAAGAATCTTAGTAGATCCTGCTATTGTTAACATTTTTTTTGTATTTACATTAATTTTCTTTCAATTAAAAATTATTTAATTTCCTCCTTTAAAAGTACTCTCTGGGCCTCTGTCCGTGACCCATTGAGCCGTCAAGAAAGGCAGAGTATAAACACCGTTTTTGGGTGAAGTGGCAGCGTGTCGTGTTGTTATGCTTCAATCGGTGGTGTCACAAGATGTGTAAAAAAAAAGAAGAAAAATATTTAATTCACATTATGTCTATACATATCAATATCACTAATGCTCATTAACTTTTTCATTTTTATCTTAAAGAAAATAAAACACAAGAGAACAGAGCAAAGCAAACCAGAGCATAACAGTGCAAGCAAAATAGCACTTCAAACAAGACAACTGGATATCAATGATAACTACCGTAATGTCTCTTTTGTTTGAAATAGTTGAATGTACTTTCACACATAAAAATATGAAACATAACAAAATAGTATAAAACCATTCAAGAGAATGAAAGCATTATAGGACATTCAAACCCCAATAACAGGAAATGAACAATGGCTACCATAATATTTCATTTTCCTTAAAAATTTTGTTTATAGCATCACACATGATAAAATCTAATGAGACACAACAGGATAGAACCAATCAAAACAGAAGAGCAAAAGCATAGTAGAATTAGAAAGCAAGATAATAGTAAATGAGCAATGGCTGCCATAATGTCTTTTCTTTAAAATAGCTGTTAATAATAAAATCAAACAAAAGAATAAAACTGATGCCATCATTGAATAAAAACAGTGTAAGACTTCAAAGCAATATAATGGGAAACCAAGATTAGTATATAAAATTTTATATACTCTTACCATTTCTTACAATAGGGAGACTACATGGTATTTACACCTGTGAGTTTGATTTATTTCACTTATGAATATGGTCTCAAGTTGTATCCATGTGTTATGAATATCTGAATGTGATCATTCTTTATAGCTGAGTAATACTCCATTGTATAAGAATACCACAGCTTTTTTGTCTGTTCCTCAGTTGATGAGCATTTAGGTTGTGTCCAAGATCCAGTTATTACAAATTGTGCTGCTATAAAAATGTGTTCACATGTAACACTGTGATATGATGTTTTCAGTTCTTCTAGGAATATGCCCAGAAGTGGAATAGCTGGATCAAATGGGATTTACAATCCCAAATTTTTGAGGCTCCTTCAGACTAACCTCCACAGTGGCTGCACCACTCTGCACTACCACCAACAGTAGAGAAGAGTTCCTTCTTCCCTGCAGCTGCTCCAGCATTTGTTTTTGGTAGTTTTCTTTACCTGGCGATTCTTTCTGGAATGAGATAAAATCTTAGTGTTGTTTTAATTTGCATTTCTCTAATGACTAAAGATGCTGAACAGTTTTTCATCTATTTATTTACCATTTGTGTTTCTTCATCTGAGGATTTTGTGTTCATCTCAGATGTCCATATTTGGATTGGGTCTTTGAATTTGGGGGGACTGATTTTTTAACTCTATATGTTCCACACAGAAGTCATTTGTCTAAGTGACAGTACACTAAAATTTTTTTCCCAATTTGTGAGGTTTTTTTTTTTCATTATGCTGGAGATTTCTTTTGACATGCAGAAACTCTTTAATAAGATGTGAACCTAGTTATTGACTCTGGGAAGTATTTCCTGTGTGGTTTGATTCTTGTTCATAAATTCTGTGCCTACTCCTGTCTTTAAGATTTCCACTTATTTTGTCTTCCAGCAGATTTAGTGTTTCCGTTTTAATATTTAGATCTTTGATCCATTTAGACTTTAGTTTAGTACATGGTGATATGCATGGATCTAATTATAGTTTTTGACATATGAAGAGCCAATTTTTCCATTACCATTAATTAAAGAGATTATATTTCTTCTAGTGAATGTGTTTGGCCCCTTTATGTAAGATAAGGTGGTTGAATGTGTTTGTAATTGTAGTTGTATCTTCTAATCTATTCCATTGGTCTTCAGGTCTGTTTTTTATTTCAGTACCATGTTGATTTTATTATAGTAGTTTTGTATGGTAACTTCAAGTCAGGGATCGTGATACCTCCTGCCTTGCCTTTGTTGCTAAGAATTGCCATTGCTATTCTAGTTCCTGCCACTGCTATTCTAGTGCAATTGTTATTCTCTTCTGGTTCCAGATGAATTTTACGAGTGATTTATCTAGATCTATGATGTATGTTTATAGTATTTTAATTGGGATTGCATTAAGTCTGTATAACAATTTTTGGAGAATGGACATTTTCACAATATTTATTTTTCCTACCCATGAACAAGGGATGTCTTACCATTTTCTGAGGTCCTCTTCCATTTCTTTTTACAGGGTATTATACATTTCCCTGAATAGAACTTTTACTTCTTTTGTAAAATGGATTGCTAAGTACTTGAATTTTTTGGATGCTATTGTGAAGGGTGTGGCTTCTATTATTTCTCTTTTAGGGATTTTTTGTAAGTGTATAGGAATGCTATTGATCTGTGAGTGTTGACTTTGTGTCTAGCTACATGATTGAATTTATTTATTATACCTAGGAGTGTTTCAAAAAAATTTTGTGAGTATTCTATGTAGAGTATAATGTGATCTGCAAATATTGATAATTTAACTTCCTCTTTCCCTATCCTTACTCCTTTTATTTCTCTCTCTTGTCTAATTGCTCTGTCTAGTATTTCCAATACTATTTTGAATAGGAGCAGTGATAAGGGACATCCTTATCTTGTGCCTGATGTTAGGGTAAAAGCTTTCAGGGTTTTTTGCCATTTAATATGATGCTGGCTGTTGTTTGTCATAGATAGCTTTTGTCATATTAAGATAAAACCATCTCTTCCAATTTTCTGTATGTTTCTTATCATGAATAAGCATTAGACCTTATTAAAAATTTTTCAGCATCTTTAGAAATGATCGTGCAATTCTCATATTTGACTAAATTGATATGGTAGATTACATTTATTAACTTACCTAGGTTGAATAATCCCTGCATTCTTAGGATGAATACCACTTGGTCATGGTGTGTAGTCTTCTTGCTGATTTGCTGCATTCTGTTTGCCAATATTTTATTGAGAATTTTTGCACTTATGTTCCTTATGGAAATTTGACTATAATTCTCTTTTGATTGGGTCTTTCTCAGATTTTGGTATTAGAGTAATATTTGCTTCCAGGAATGAATTAGGAAGAATTTCTTCCCTTTCAATTTCATTGAAAAGTTTGAGGAGTGTTCAAATTAAGTCTTCTTTGAACTTCCCTTAGAAATCTGCATTGAATTCCTCTGGGCCTGGAGTCTTTGTTGGTAAGAATTTAATTTTATTTTCAGTTTCATTAATTGAAATTGGGTTATTTGGCAGTTTTATATCTTCTTGACCCAGCTTTGGTAATTCATATGTTTCTAGGAATCTGTCCGTTTCTTCCGTGTTGTCAAGTCTATGAAAGTAGTGGTTTTCAAAATAAGTATTGATTATTTTCTGTATTTCCACAGGGTCTGTAGTGATTTCACCCTTTTCATTCCTTATTTCTTGAATTTGAGTTTTTTTCTTTCCTTTTAAAAATATAGTTGGCTACAGGCCTGTCAATTTTATTTATTCTTTGAAAGAAGCAGCTTTTTAATTCACTAATTCTTTGTATTGTTTTCTTAGTCTCTATTGCATTGATTTCTGCTCTGATCTTTGTAATTCCCTCCCTTCTTTTACATATGTGCTTGACTTGCTCTTCGTTTTCTAGATGTGTGAGGTGTAGCTGCAAGTGGCTTATTTGTGTGTGTTCTGTTTCTTGGTGTGAGTGTTTACCACAATAAACTTTCCTCTGAGGACTGCTTTCATTGCATCCCACAGGATCTGGTAAGATATATTTGTATTTTCATTTGCCTTTAAAGATGGTTGACTTTCTTCTTTAGTTTCCTCTGTGACCCACTGGTTGCTCAGCAGTATATTATTCAATTTCCATGTTTTTGTGGGGTTTTTGCAGTTCTTTTGTCATTAACTTCTAGTTTTATGTCACTATGATCTAATAACAAACATGAGATAATTTCTATACTTTTGCATTTATGTAAGCACAGAAGTGGGTTAGTATACAGTCTATTTTATAGAATGTTTCATGTACTGCTGAGAAGAATGTACATTCTTATGTTGGATGTAGCGCTCTGTATATTTCTATCAAGTTGATTTGTTCACAGTTGTGATTCAGTTCCATTATTTCTTTGCTGATTTTTTATCTGGTGGATCTGTCCCTTTGTGTTAATGGTGTGTTAGGATCTCCTGGTATAATTGTGTTATTGTTTATTTGATTTTTCATTTCTATTAACATTTGTTTTGCATATCTGGATGCTCCCAAGTTTGATGCATATATATTTAAGATTTTTATCTCTTCTTCTTGAAGTTTTCCCCGACTAGTATGTAGTGACCTTCTTTATCTCTTCAGATCATTCTTGGTTTGAAGTTCAAATTGCCTACAAACAGAATAGCTACTTCTACTTTTTGTAGGGTTCATGTTGCATGAGGTATTGTTTTCCATCCTTTGACTTTCAGTCCATGAGTTTCCTTTTGTGTTAGATGGGTTTCTTGTAGGTAGCATATGGTCGGGATGTTGTTTCTTGATGTATTCTGCTGGTTTGTTTCTTTTTACTGATGAATTGAGACCATTTACATAAATAGTTATAAATAATACATATTGCTTTATTTTTTACTTGTTATTGTTCTGCTGTTGCTTCTTTACTTTTCCACTCTGTTTAATTTTCTGCCTTGCTTAGTGGTTTTTTCCTATATCTATCTAGAATGTCCTTCAATGTTCTTTGCATGGATGGTCATGAAGTTCTTGTAATCTTGTCTTCAAGGTCTGAAATTTTATCTTCACTATCATTTCCCAGCACTATCATTAAGGCAGTTTTGCCATCTTTCAATGTAATTTTTCATTTCCTGTATATCTCTTTTAATCTGCTTCATGCATTGTGCTTGTTTCTTATATTGTTCATTGAGGGTTTTTTTTTTATCTTTTTGCACTGTTCCTCTGATTTTTAATCTGTCTTCTTTAGATGTGTTCAGCATGTCTTTCATTAATTTTATCATTTCTTTTTTTACCTGGTAAATTATTTCTAATTTGAGTTCTTGTATAGCTTCCCAGAGATGTTTCTTTACTTCTGTTGTTATTATTTCAGGCATTTCATGTGTATGGCTCTCATTTTGTTTTATGCACATGTCTTCTAGGTAGG